GCACCGATACCGCGGCTCCCTCTATCGCTCTCGCTCGCACGCCGTGACGTCACCCGATTCCCGGAATCCCGCGGCTACGAGATGGCTCATTATGGTAAGGCTTCCCGCAAGGAAAATTGTAAGCCGCCGACCAAAAGGTAGATTTAATAAATTATTTATGAAACTACATCTATTCTGAATTTATCTGTTACAAATATGCAAATGTAAAGCAAGATATAAAAACGAATAAAACAAGACATGTAAAAAGTAACATTAGTAAAATGTCCATTAACGATGCATTTAGAATAAATCGTCTTGTAGTTAAGTGAAAAAATATATACTTTTCCGTTTCATGTTTCATGACTGTCATATTTATCCCTTAACCTTAAACTGAAGCATCGGATATTTTTATTCTCGTGAAATCATATAGATACACGTAATATGAATGGAATATATAACACTTCATTTGTGCTAATAATACTCAGAATTCATGCTTTATCGGTAACGTCGGGTATTGACACTAAAATGGTAACAGGGCTACGTAGCCCTATGAACGTGGGACAGAAAAAAGCATTGGATGATAGGTCTATTCTATACCTAGTCGGTGGTAATACTAACTGAAGTGTGCGCTGCAGTAGGAAGGAGGACAGGCGAGGGCGCTCCGGGAGAAATATTTAAGTCATACCATAAGTAGAGTTGAATCTGCTATTATACGGTAAAAATTCCGTGTGTCATGTAGTTTGTATAGATATATGTATTTAACAAAATTAATAAATAGTATAAAGCATTAAATAATAATACGGCACACAGCCCACCAGCCATTAAGAACGAACCGAATGCATCCGAAGCTAACCGATGTACCTCGCGAGCAAACTCGGCTACCACTAGAGAAAAAGTAGTATTGGGAAAGGGCCTCCTACCATTTGGTATCGGAAATTATTACAATTTATGCCAAATTAACATTCGATTTAACATTTATTTCAGTACCTGAAATAAATTTACTAAGTGGTAGAAGACTTTCCTTCCACGTCACTTTTTCCCCTAGTGGAAGCCGAGTTTGCTCGCGGGTGTACCTCTAACGACTGCTGCCTTTTCCCCTCCAATCCTACGGTCCCCTCGCCAATTGTGGTAGGTTATGCTCCGTCTATATATGTCTATGTCTATGGTGCACACGGTGTATACAACTGTGTATACGACCGTGCGCTGCATTAGCATGCGTTTTTGTACGGATGCATCGATTGCAGCGCTGTGTGGCTGGCGGAAGATTCATGAAACTTTTGGTCTTCATTAAGGGAGCACTTCTACCACAAGAGTTTCTAGCTTCCACTAGTGATGGGCACCATCGACTAAGTCGATAGTAACCAACGACTACTTTTAGTCGACTAATTTTTTTAATCGTCGACTACTTTAGTCACTTGAAGCGACTAACTTCAGACAAATAATATTAGTCGCTTGAAGCGATTACTTTCGGGCGAATAATATTAGTCGCTTGAAGCGACTACCTTCAAACGAATAATATTAGTCGCTTGAAGCGACTGACTTCAGACAAATAATATTAGTTGCTTGAAGCGATTACTTTCGGGCGAATAATATTAGTCGCTTGAAGCGATTACTTTCAGGCGACTAATATTAGTCGCTTGAAGCGACTACTTTAGTCGATTAAATTTAGTCGCTTCAAGCGACTCGCTGGAACTATCGAGCTATTGATCGCTATTGACTGGATCTTGATTATTTTTTTCGCGATGCAAACGAATTGTAATTTTTCCATATATTTTTTTATGCATTACCTTGTAAACTAATCGTTTAAATTTCTCCGAAAAAGTCAGATCGTTAATTTTAAAAAGTTTATTTAATTGTTTAGAGTGCACGAATACTTTCGTGCCTCTTTTATATTAATAAGAAATTTTAAGTATTACTAAGAAAGAAGACGAACCAACTAGAACGTATTATCTCAGAATTCGACTCTGTCACTTGATAATGTAAACATCTAAAACTCTAAACATTACAGGAAGCAGGGGTGGGCTAGTATTACTAACGAAAATAAAAGATTCGTTCTTTAATTCTTTTACGAAGATTTATATATATTATATTTTACTGTTTATTATACATAATATTAATACGTTTATTATTAATATTGATACATTAATATTATGTAATATTAATTGATATTAGTAATATTATTGTAAGAAAAAACGATAAAAATGCAAATAAATAAGTCGTAACTATTAATGTTGAATCGATAATTTTACAAAAAGGTTTCGATGCTCGCCAGCTGAGAAGAACGATTCTTCTGTCCGGAAAAGCCCCTTTCTTTTCGTCAACGTTTGCTTTTCAAGTGCTTGAAGTCCCTTATCGGCAACTGTGGTATCACTATCCAGATGTCCTACAATCCTTACATCAGAACAATGGGACATTATAGAAGACATAATACCGTTATTGAAACCAATAGAATATGTAACTGTAGAGTTGTGTGCTGAGAAATATTCTACAGCTTCAAAAATCATGCCATTAATAAGAGGAATTGAAAACGCCATCCAAAATATTACATCTGTGACAATGCCTGGCCTTGCACTAAAAAATAACCTGTTAAACAATATTGATATTAGATTTGAATACATAGAAACAAATAAAATTACATCAACAGCTACAATAATAGACCCTAGATTTAAAACAGCAATTTTTCAAAGCGAAGGAAATGCACAAAGAGCAATAGAAACTTTAACATCAGAACTTCAGAATTTACTAACCAACGTGCAAATTCATGAGAATAGACGTACAAACCCAGAAGAAGAAGAACCACTTAATCAGGATGCAGGATTTTGGAATTTTTCTGTTGATAAAGTTTCCCATCTAACTAGACAGTGCTCTACACCTTTAGAAACCGCAACAAACATAACAAGGCAATATTTAGATCTGCCTTACGAAAGTATTAAAAGTGATCCCATTGCATTTTAGAATACACATGGCCACACAATGCCTGAACTAAAAAAAATGAATGAAAAATATTTATGTACACCTGCAAGATCTGTTCCATCAGAACAGATATTTTCCAAAGTTGGACAGATTATGTCAGAAAGAAGAAATAGACTATCGTCAAAAAATTTAGATCAACTCATTTTTTGAAATTGTAATATGGAATAACATAGGTCAAAATAGCAGGTAATTGTATAATATTTTTTTAGATGATATTCTTTTATTTTTCAATTCCTAATATAGCAATATTTATATCTGTCCTAGGAGAAAGAAGAAATGACAACATTAACAACTATCGAATAAAATTTGGTATGTATAAAAAATTAAACAATCCCATAATTTTAAATACCTGCTATTGTGACAACACTTATTTGATTTTAAAGAATTTTTCCAAGAACTGTGCAAATTATTGCTTATAACCTAATTGATTTTCACAAAAAATGTAGAGCAGTTAATTTTTTAAGTGCCAATATCAAATAGCTTACGAAAAATCGAATATTAGTAATTGTTTAAAAAAACTTGTTTACCACTTATATTTTTTCTTAATAAATTTCCAAAAGGTAAATACACCAATGGTGTCATGAAAATTTGACGATATAATCTATACATAACCACTAAAGCATAATTTCAGTCGACTAAAAACTATCGACTAAATAGTCGATAGTATGTTGCGACTAAATAGTCGTTAGTCGATAGTTTTATTTAGTCGATGGTGCCCATCACTAGCTTCCACAGAACTGCGAAAAGTGTTCACAGTGTGAACTTCACATACACTGCGCGATTGTCCCGACCGCGAAAAATGTTCACACACTGCGCGATTAATTAGACTCGCTCGAAGTTCCTCCGTTTTATTTACCATTGTACGCGTTACACAAAACTAATACTAAAAATAATTAATTTACAACTATTATTTACACTAATTTTTAATCTACACCAATTAATTTATAACAACTATTCATATTAATGTTTTCACGGAATGACTACCTCTGTCTCTTACGGTTAATAATTTATATATAAAATAACAAAAAAATCATTTTGTTTATAAATAACACATCATAGAAAATGTTTCTTTCAATAGCGTAATATATCATAAAAAACTGAATAATTTTTGTGGTTACTGTTTTGCTCTATCTCGTATCGTTACAAAGTTCTGTCAAAAATACTAAAAAATGCGAAAACTTTAAGGACTGATTTCACCTATTCAGAGTGCAAATGGGCATCAAACAAATTGCCCTAAGCATTGTTCAATATGCTCTAGATTCATGCGAAGTTTCATTAAAATCAGAATTTTCGGGTTCGGAACTTTCCCTTGTAAGTAAAGAACACTTGAAACAACCTTATTTTGAATATTGTTTAACATTAATTCTTAGATAATTATTCCGTATCTAACATTTTAATAACATTATAGAAAAATGTTTAAGTGATATAAAGAAATGGTTAATGCCGATATCATCCTATTTAAATATTATTGATTCAACTGTTTTTGTAGAACAAAGGAGGTTCAAATCTTTTACATTTATCGGAACCTATATACGTAAGATTCGTAAAGCCCAAGGTGGACAACAATGAGTCACACCACCTTTCATGGAAGACAATGTCACGTACACCTTGATTATTTTTATATTTAAAATATTGTTATCGTCATTATATGATTGTAAATTTTTATCTTCGAATTGAAGAAAATGAAAGTAATTTCCTAGATGCGTTAAAATTGTTTTATCGTATACATACCTATACACTATAATGTGCAAATAAAGATAGACGTACTTAAATAAAGAAAAATGTATGAAAAAGGGAATTAGAAAGTAGTAACTACATACATGTTACATTTATATGTGTGTTTACGTAAGCGTAATAAGTACTTTCGGCTGATATTACCTAACGTAGTACATAATTTAATAAACAAAAGCATGTTTAAATTTTATTGGCGTTTAAAAAATTATAAAAATATTGTAATAAATTTCAGAATGTCTCATGACATACAATATAATCTAAGAAATTGTGTGTGACATTCAATAAGAAAAAAAGCTAGTGTTTTGCGACAGATACCTAAATACACCTAACTTCACTGCACTTCACTGTTGATCCTGTTGATCATCAATCTAAAAAGTTGTAAATAGATACACAATTCATTAATATTTGGAACATAACCAATCTGTTGACAAGTGCATCATATAAAAAATTACTCATAAATTTACCGTGGAAATATGACCCCGGTTGTAATGAATGCACAAATACTTTAGTAAAACGTTAAGACAGGTAAGATCGTTTTGTGTACCTCAGCTTTCTAATGAAAGTGTATAAATTACGTCGTTATAATCTTATTAAAAATTGAAAACAATTAAATGTAAAAATGCAGATTTGTAGAGTTACTGAATCATTCAATAACGGTATGTTTGTAAAGCATATCAAAGGTAAACATTATTTGGTTCACCTTTTGTTTGTAAACACATCAATATTTGCATGATGAAACTGACTGACTAAAAAGTGTTGTGTATTAGTAGAAAAATAAAGCGAATCTTCTTTCTATTAAAATTTCATACCTTTAAATATATAGTGGTATTCAATTTTTGTTATCTATAAACACAATAGGTGTAAATTACAAGTCTTTTTATTTTTATAATTAACAAATGATATTAGTTAGATGACATTGATAGATCATGTTACTATTTGATATATATAAATATGAAAATAGTATTGATAATGATATTATCTATGAAATATATAAATCATACAGTGCATAAATACAAGTTATATTGTTGATTAAGATATTATACGAGTCCTTTAAAAACAAACAGGAAGGATAATTCTTATGTGTACCTTGTAGATGTTCTTTTTATAGACAAAGTTTGACCTCCTTCTCTTCAGTAAGCAGAGCATTTAACTGCCAGCTGCTTTTGAGTACAGATCATGCTGCAACAAAACATTTAACTCCATCATTAATAATGCCAGATAGGTATGTTTTCTGCACAAGTATTTTGAAGTATATTATAATGTATAAGTATATTATTATAATAATTATACTTTTTTTTAATTAAAAAGAGATATAATTAAAGTAGATCTCTAATAAAATATATTATGTACATGCTTTTATTTAATGTTATCAGTTAAATCTGTGGTTCTTTAATTTACAAAAAAAATTACATGTTAGTAGATATATTACTGTTGCAAATATTCATAAAGACACTTCATGTTATATTTCTATTGTTTAGAATGAATTTACTTCTTTTCAAATAACTAGTTTATTTTATATAGTTTAAATGTTTTATTAGGAATAAAGTTTTGGTCGGTGCTGGAGTAATATGGGGTATTACTCTTTGTTGTTTCTTTATTACTCGCAAACTTTCAAGATCAACATTATTAAATTTCAATCCGGGTATTTTGTTTTGGTCAGTGTATTTTTGTATAATAGTATTTACCATTTATTGTGTGCAATAACATTTTCTATATCTCTGCTGTCCTAATACACTAATTATTATTAGTGCTGAATTACATATAAATGTTTTAGTTGAAGTACTTATATTTGCTACTAATTTGTCCTGATTTAATATTTAATTTACTACATCGATTAAGTAGTTGACACTCTACTTTTCAGTCAAGCTATGAAACACTCATATAATAGCAGGATATAAATTACAGGAATCAAAAAATGGAAAACAGTGAAGAACAAAAATGCCACATTAATGAAGCCAAAGCATCCACATCTCTGGAATGTTCATCTAATTCAAAAACTGAAACAGAAGATGACAATACAAAGGGGTACATTTTTAAATTATTATTTAACAGTTGCTTGTTCTTGATAAATATTGTCATTAATATTAATTATAATTAAACTTAATATTATATAGACACAAGGCACAAAATTTTATGGTTGGTGGAATAATAGGAGCATCGCCGCCAAAGTTTGTTTCTCTTGACGAAATTATGAAAGCTGCGAATGGTATGAAGAACATGGCTTTGGCTCATGAGATTGCCGTGGATAAAAATTTTCAACTACAAAAAGTTGAGCTTGAAGATGGTACATTTCACAGAAGAGTAAAAGAAATCATGCACAAAGCATTTTGGAATTTATTAGCTGAACAATTGGCTGAGGATCCTCCGAATTATACACAAGCATTGGTGTTATTAAATGATATTAAAGAGGTAAGCAGCTGTAGTGATTCTATAAAGTAACTTTAAGTTTCTACATTTGTTTATGCTTTCTCTTTTCTTGTAGAGATTAGATGAACTGGTCTTACCGCATCATGCAAAAATTCGAGAAAATTTAAAAGAAGTACTTGATGTAGATTTAATTAAGCAACAAGCAGAGAAAGGTGTTTTGGACTTCCAACATTATGCGCAATACGTTATTTCAATAATGAGTAAAGTGTGTGCACCAGTAAGAGATAGCATGATCAGAGAACTTGGTCAAAAAACAGATGTTATTGAAGTATTTAGGGGTATAATGGAAATATTGCAATTAATGCGTCTTGATTTGGCAAATTTTACTATCACCATGATGCGACCAAACATAGTTGCTTGGAGTATTGAGTATGAAAAAGCAAAATTTGCTGAGTTCTTAAAAATCAATGCAAACGGTTTACAACATACAGAGAAATGGTTATTAAGGCATTTTGATCCTACAAAGATAATAGCTGATTCGGCGGATATTAACACTGTGCGACAGACAACACATTGTCTTTTGACCGAAGCATATTTGGATCTTCTAGAATGGGATTTCAGCCCAGACGCGGAAGTATGTTTGAGAATATGTTTTTTATTTATTAAATTTTTCGTTTATATTAGGTAGGCTAAATAATGTAATAGATAATAATTTTTTACAAATGTTTATTCCTTTAGACTTTGATGCTCGATCAAGGTAGATTATTGGAACTGCGTGATAAGACTAGTAGATTAAGTGTTATTGGAGCTGTAATATTGCTATCAAATAACACGATTGGCCCACCAATTCATGGAGTATCGAGTTTCAAGAAGAATATAAAACAACATCTTAATGTACTATTGGAATCTGTGCATTCAAACAAGTATGTATATAAAAGTATTTAGATACATTCATAAATGATAAATATATGCAGGATGGACCAGGGTGGGTGGTACAACCGGGCATGTGGTTATTCTTCATGTAAAAATACATAGATATTTGAATTAGAAATCTGCTGGGTACGCGTGTAATTGAATAGAATCTTGGCTAATGCATCTATTCATTACATTTCGTTACTACTTATTGTCACCACGCATACATACATGTTAGATGAACTTTCAAATTCAATGAAAAATTTTATTCTAAATACATTTTCAACTTATTCTGCATGTAGAATGACCTCCGTCTGGTTGTATCGCCGAGGTTGGTTTACCATGTATATTATACATTAACTTCATGCATGTTATTGACAGGGATTTGGAAACTGCAATGCCAAATATTGTGTTACAACTAAAAGCGGATGTAAAATTAACGTTACAAGAGATACAAGCTGCTCCGTTGTCTTCAGAATTAGAAACATTATTAGAAGGACAAATATTAGAGCTTGTTAAACAAGAGCATAAAATTAGACACCTTATAAGTAAATACTTCATACATATTCTAGTAATCCAAATCGTTAAAATTAAAATTATTTTTTAACAATTACTTTTTAGGTTTGAGAATTCGACAGTTTCTGCAAAAAATAATACTATCACAATCAGCAGCACCACAGCAAGTACCACCCGGGCTTTCCTCACTTCAAGAAGAATTGACAGCTATAACAGCTCAGTTTTTAATACTCATTTCGCATAATCGGAGTGTATTTGGAGAATACTACCAAGAAATTGTGACCAATGCACTTATAAAAAAGGAAGCTGAGAATAATGAAGATACAAGTGGAATTCATACCATGGAATTATAAAATGTGAAATTGCACTTTTTAACTAATCTTTATGAAGGAAACATTAATGTTACTTGTTCATTAATTCAAAATAAGTGATACATATATCTTAAAGTAATTTTTAATTCATTTTCATAAATCAATTTTTATAATGAAAGGAAATCATACTTGTAAATGAAAATGTCAAATAACAGGCGAGCATTAAGGTGTCAATACTATAAGTTATAAATGATTTAATTAAATCAGTATTTGAGTAAGCAGTATACACGAGGATGGAAGAGTATACATACTTGAATGCATGGATGCTACTTGGTTTGTTTTTAATACATTGTACGTACTGTTTGGCATATAAGTTAGCTACAATTATGTCAATAAGGAATATAATTATTTACTGCTGCTTGCTTTCTGTACTTGGTGCTGTAAAACATTCTGTTTCAAAATGCTGTATGTATTTGAAAGGAAAATGTAATATATATATATATATGTACATAGATATAAAAATTAAATCAATTTATAATGAAATTTTAATCTATTTTTTAAGTGCTTTGTACTTGCTTTGTGTTGTTTAATTTTTTAAGAATGTGTACTTGTACATGATTCCACTACTGATTGCGACTACTGTGCTAATGTATATATATATATGTATTTCAAACCATTACTTAGCTAATTTTTATACCCATATACGTATATTACAAGCAAGCAATTTGACATCAAAATGTGTAATAAAAAACATAATGTTCATGAATATTTAAAAGATTTATATCATAGAAAACATGTTTTTAAGAAAAATAATTATGTATTAAGGGGTCTTAATTACAGTCTACTATGATGGTTTAAAAAAAAGTCGAAATTTTTGTTTTAATTTTGCAAAAGTACATTAGGTATTCCGAAACTTTAAAAAAAAGCGCCGGTAAACTGCGAACTCGAGAATGTAAGATGCCTATAAACAACCATTTTTTCTATTGTACCCCTAACGGCAAATGGCATAAGCTTGGAAAGCGTGAAGTTTGAAATATTGTATCTACACTGACGAGCAAACTCGGCTTCCACTACGGGAAAAAGTGGCGTAAGAGTCTTCATGTAGAATGACCTCCGTCTGGTTGTATCGCCGAGGTTGGTTTACCATGTATATTATACATTAACTTCATGCATGTTATTGACAGGGATTTGGAAACTGCAATGCCAAATATTGTGTTACAACTAAAAGCGGATGTAAAATTAACGTTACAAATTCCCCAAGTGGAAGCCGAGTTTACTCGTGAGTGTACATGCAAAATACAAGCGCAGCGCGTAGCCACCGCTAGCGCGGGAACTTGGCTGACAAACTCGCGCTCTGATTGATCGCGGTTTTTCGTTAATATCTCGGTAACGAAGCCCCAGATTACATATTTGCTAAGGAAAAAGTTGTTCCAATTCACCCCCGAGTGTTCCAGTTCCGGGTCGAGCAACATTTTTGTCACAACCTGTATATGCTATGAAGTCCATGGTATTGGAGAACTTGCGGGAAGTTGATGACAGTTTATAGCCCTCTGGTGATGAGTGTTGGAAGTATTGTCACAGTAAAATCATGAGAATGTCTAACTTGGTCCAACTGTTTCCGGTTGTAAAAGGAGTGATGTAGACTTTACATTTGGAAGTGTAAAATAACAAATTGCACAATATTCATGTATAATTATTAATAAAGTTATTGCAAATATTGTAAAGTTAAAACTAAACAAGGATATGTGTACATTGACAGTGCATTGTAGAAGGATGTAGGTGGTGAAAGCACTTTAATAGAATATGTGCACATATAGTGACGTGTTTCCATCTTGACAATTCCTGCAATATAGATAAAGGTAAATGTGTTTTGAAAAGTGTTTCTGTTTATGAAAATTAGTATCTATACTGTGTGATTATACAAATTTATCAGGTTTTTTTAATGCTACTTTTTTATGCTATAAATTATTAACATATACTTTCTTTTTACAATACGAATTACGTCATTTTGCTACGTGTTCAAAATTATTTTGCAAGTTTTATGTTTTCTTTGCGGTATTTGTAGTTTATTTTTTGATTTAAGTAAAATATTCATACTTTGATAAACTCAAAATCTTTTGAGGTTATCTTCATCATATTGTCAGTATGCATAACATCATTATCAATGATGTTTTTTAAGTCTGTTGTAGATTTTGTATTTACACCTTTTTAATGCATATTAAATAATCGAATGTCATGCTTTTATTTATTTGTATTTTGTATTGTATTTCCATGCTTCTATCATAACCATATAAATTTCCAATAATTAATATAAGAATGTCCCAAATATTACAAATTTTTATTTATATGTCAACGTAATATTTTGTTGTAGGTTGCATGTAAAATTGTTTAAATTAAGAATTATCATTACACAAAATAGATAAACAAGTTTAATATTTCTCTATTTAAACAAAAAATTTGTTATTTAAGACTTTACGAATTTTGTATGGTATTGAAAAAATACAAGGTTATTGCTTACATGCTATGTTATATGAATTAAATGTGCCACAAGGTTACTTATGTATATTATGACATTTAGTATATATGTGTACACAAGGATAATATAATTAGTTTACCTCAGTCGAGCTTTCATCCAATTAGTCTATGAAAATGAGAGCAGTGGGTGACATACTGTCTGATCACTTTATAAAAACTTTCACTGCCATTGACTACATAATTTCTTACTCATAGGAGTTTATTGTCTATGTCTGTGGTATATAAATTACAATGAAGTGGTTTCTATTGTTATTGGTTATACAGTTCACAATGTGGGACACATCAGGAGAACCACCAGGAGAACAAGAAGGGGACTCATCTGATCCTGCAATGCAAGTAGAAGAAAAATGTGAACGAAGTCAAAGCCAAATGGAATCTCTTGAAGAAATTGTGCTAAAAAATAAGCCAACTTCGAAGAAGCAGGAGGAAGTTCAGGTAACTAAGCATGTTTTATAAAAACTTAGTGAAGGTTCTTAAAATATTTTATGCAAATTGTAATTTCAATTTAGGAATATGCAAGGAGGCTTTCTAAAATTAAATCTAGAGCTAAATTTTCACGACGAAATAAGGAAGCAAATTTGCCATGTAAAAGTACATCACATGTGTCTGATGCAACATCACCTGGCACCTCTGATCAAACTGTTGACGATATAAGTCAAGCGAAAACTGCAAAAGCAAAGTCTACTTTACTCCAAAAAAAGTTAGCCGAAGACAGGAAAGTATTCGAACAACGTAATAAGGAGAGGACTGAAACTAAACGTGCTGTGGAAGAGAAGGTAGAGGCTATTAGACAACAACTAGAAGAAAATGATGTATCTCACCCAGATCTGGCTCTAGTAAGTCTACAAAAGGATCAATTATCTGTTACACCTATTAAACCAGTCATGATCACTTCTGAGGTTAGTGATATAAAACTTTTTATGATTCTCATTGCAAACATTCTGTTAAGCTGTTTGAAATATTATTTAAAATATTGCTTTTAGGTAATGTCGCCAGTACAAATTGAAAGTATTCGAGATAAAGAAAATAAAATTGCAGAACTTAGTAATAAAATTGTAGAATTAGAAGCCAGTATTGTGGACCTTCAAGAAAATTTGAAGGAAAAAGATTCTGTCATTGAATCTAAAACAAAGGCAGTTACACTTATGTCCGCAGATCTTTCCAGGAAGGGTAAAACAACATTAGACACTCTTGAAGATACGAAAGATGAAATGCGAACAATGCAGGAGCATTTTATACTTTTAGAGACATCATTAAAAAATAAAAATGAAAACCTCTTAAAGCAATTAGCAGAAAAAGATAATAAAATAATAGAATTAGAAGAATCAGTTAATCGGTAATTTTAAAAATTTTTACTTAAAAATGTTTTTCGCAATTGCTCAAAAAACGTTTATTAATTACTTGTGTTTAGGTTTGAACAAGAAGTTGACAAGCAAAAGTTATCTGAGTCAGCAAGCGCTAACTTTTCTCGCTGTACAATGGATACATTAGTAGAAACCAAAGAAGCAATGAAATCTATGCAGGAAAATTTTGTACTTATAGAATCATCTCTTAAAGCGAAAAACGATAATCTTCTTCAACAGCTGCAAGATTATGAATTGAAATTGGCAGAATCTAACGAACGAATATTTAAATTGGAATCTGGTATTGGTATAGAAAAAGATCCAACAGTTGACGATTTGCGGTTTAAATTAGAAAAATTGGAATATAGTAACAAACAGTTACAGGATGAGAAATATGAATTACAAAAAAGTATGGCTGATCTGCAAGATAAAATTGTGAACACTTCTATCCATGGTAATGGTGCTGTAATAGAAAAGGACAATAGAATAGTTGAACTCGAAAACTTAATAGAAGAATTGAAACAATCTAATAAACTTCTTGAAGAAGAATCTAAAGTGGAATTACAAAAACAGTTAGCGGATTTGACATTGAAAAATGAAGAATATGCAAATAAAATTACTGATCTTGAAAATTTGGTGCATAACCTAGAAGAACAAAAGAGTGAAATTGCAGCCAGATTACCAGATGAGAGTGCTGTTAACGAAGACGAGAAGGTGGCAAAGCTTACCAAAGAATTGGAAGAATTAAATAAAAATATGATAAAAATAAAAGCACAACATAAAACTAAAATAAAAAGTTTACAAAAGCAACTGGAGAATTTCAAAATGGTGAGAAATTTTCGCATAATTGTTTATATTTCTATGATGTTTTAAGGGGTCATGCTCAGTCAGTACTTATCTGGCCGATGCGCCCGAGCGGAGCGTATACTTTGAACGCCTGTAACTCTGTCATTTTTAATTGGATTACCTTGAAACTTGCATAGACTATTCTCGAGATGTTGTACCTAAAGAAAATGTAGAAAGTGAGAAATCGATTTTTGAAAATTTTTGACTGAGCATGACTCCTTAATGTCTTGTAATAATCACACAAAAAATCTAATTTAATAATATAGGAGTAAAATAACCGTAAATAGTTTTAATGTTTTAAGATAAATGATCATTTCAGCAAAAACAACCAATTTTACCTTATTTACTTTGGTAACATTATTATTATCTATGTGTTGTTATATATGATGATGTCTTGGTTTAGGTGTCCGACACAAATGCGGAACTTGTTAGACTGGCGAATCAAGTGGCATTATTAGAGGAGGAGAAAGGTAACCTTCAGCTGAATCTGGTAGACTTTGACGAGCTTAAAGGTAGGAACCAGGGCAGAAATTCTGTCATTGCTGTTTCCATTGTTCTAGTTTTGTTATCAATTGTACATGCAATGCAATGTCCATTTATATTATTCTCAAAGCAATTTGTTATCCATAGCCCTATTTTCCTTGCTGCGGACAATTCCACTGTCTATGTACATAATGTGTTTGATAATATAGACAAAGCACTTCTATTGTGTTGTTTGAGAATTCTTTTCAAACAAAATAGTTAATTGGAATACACAGTTAATATTTGTTTTTTCAATATAGAGTTATTGAAAAAGTTAGAAATACATATGCTAATTCCTGGTGATGGAGTTTTACTATATAATTAGTTAGGTATACACTAAATTTTTTAAATGTTTATTCAGAATACTAATCAATTATATTATACCGGATATCTTTTAATATTTTAATATAACATGGTACCTACTTTACTTGTCAAAGTTTGCTATACTCTGATTTTGTAGAAATAGATCTATTTCTTAGAACGTAATTTTATGTTACAACTTCATATAACTCATATAATTATATCATCATTTGTAACATCATTAACTTTCTTGCATGAAAAATTCATTAAATAATTTATGTTTACAACTTCTATGCAACTTTTTACAAATTTTGATACATCGCAGTATACTGCTGCATATTTTGCATAATACGGTATAATGTGAAATAATGATCTGATGTAAGACAAACTATAATTAATACTGTGCAGGATTAACAAATAAGTAAACTACAAACAAATTAGCAAATGAATCATCTTTTTGCTTTCAAGATTGGTTATTGGTTGCTATATTCATGGTTTTAAAGCTACTAATTATGCTTATTGCGAAAGAAGATAATTAATCCTTTATAAATAATTAAGGTACCTAAAACTCTGGTTTTGAAGTTGCTCCTCTTATACGTTTTTAAATTGCTTGCTTTGCACTTATTATTAGTTCATATTATACATTACATAATTTATACGCATCTTTGGCATGTACAATTTGCACAGCCTCAGCAGGCGACTGGCAAGAACGCACTGTTTACCTCGAAAGTAAAGTTTCTGATCAGTTAAAAGAAATTCAAATGCAAATAGAAGCCATTGCTGCATTAGAGAATCAAAAACTGGATCTCATGCAAGGTAATTGATTTTACATTAATTCTTAGATTAAATAAATGTTACATATAAAATTCTGGGTCCTAAATTATAAATGTGAAGAATGAATTATTTTGATGTATATGCTTAATCTACATTTCAGAACTCCATATGGTAAAACAGGAAATTTCATCTTTAGAAGCGGAAAATGCAGAATCTGAAAATCTGAGGGTATCTGCAGAAATGAAAGTTGTTGATTTTGAGGAACAGTTAGAAGCTATACACAAACTGCAGAATGAAAATAAATTAGAATCTTCGTTAGAAGCCAATTATGCAGAGCTAATTAAACGGATGGAAGTTTTAACGCAAGAAAATAGTGAACTGTATAATAGAATATCGAAAATGGAAGAGAAAGGAGCTTCTGACACCGGTTCTACTGAGTCGTTTGAAGCCATACAGGAATTGGATAAGAGTGATTTGTTGAAAAAAATTGAGGATTTGACACAGAAAAATAATGAATTAGCTCTTAAAGTAAGTAAAATTCAGGAAAAAGAAAAATTACAGGCTGGATCCATAGAGTCGTTTGAAAGTATACACGATACAGATAAGAATGAACTATTAAAGAAAATTGATCAGTTGACTCAAGAGAACACTGACTTAACAATGAAATTGAGTCGAATTGAAGAAAAAGGATCTTCTGATACAGGTTCAACGGAATCTTTTGAACGTATTCCAGAGCAAAATGAAAGTATAACGAAAATTGACCTTCTTACTCAAGAAAATAGTGAATTAGTAATTAAACTTACAAAACTGGAAGAACAGTTGGAACACATAAGAAGCAGTGGTATGGAATGTAAGTCGGATGTTGACTTACAATTAAAAGTCGATAGTTTACTGGAAGAGAATAGTAATCAATCTGCAGAATTATCCATACTCAAGGCACAGTTAACCGAAATCACAATACAGAATACTAATTTTCAGAAAGAAATTGAAACTTTGAGTGCAGAAACCTTGACTCTTAAACTAGAGGATTCATCTGGAAAATTAAAAAGGGAAATTGAGTTAACAACACAAATGGACGAGTTAGTGGAAGAGAAAACTCTTCTTGAGAAAGAAATAAAGGAATTGAGTAATGCTTTGGAAAAATCACACAAGGTCACAGTTGAGGATGTTGAAACAAATAATTTGACATTGAATGTTGAAGAATTGCTGAAAAAAAATAAACAAATATTTGTGAGAATGTCAGAACTTGAAGCGTTTAATGAGAAATTGAAAGAAAATTTGAAGGACGTAACACGAGAAAAGGAAGAATTATGCAGAAAAATTAATGATATGTTACCTGAAGATCCTGTCAATGAAAGGTTAGAAATTCTTGAAAAGTTAGAAAAGTTAAATAAAGAGAAACGGCAACTACATGAACAAGTCGAAACTCTTCTAGAAAAATCCACTAAAGATTCATCTGAAATGCGACTGTTAGATGAATCTGTTATTGCTTCTTTACAATACGAAATAGAAGAACTGAAGAAAGTTGTTGTTGAACAAACTAGTACAATTGAAGAGATGCAAGTTAAACTTATAAATAAAGAAGCAGAATTAGATGAATTACGTAAGGAGATCATAGAGTATCAAGCTTCTGAGCAGAAAATTAACAGTCTCGAACATGAATTGAAGGAAATGCAAGACAAAGTGGAAAAATCATGGTCTGAAAAAGCAGCCATTGAAGAGGAATTTAATACATTGCAAAAAGAAAGTAGTGTGTTGCGCGAAGTGAAAAAAGAGAAGGATGCAGAAAATATTTTGCTAAAGCAACAATTGCAAGATACTACAGCGTCATACGAGTCGAAAATTCAAGAGCAACTAACAATAATATCTGAAAAAGAAAATGGAATTACTAATTTGAAGGAAATCATTGGAGAAAAGGATCAAGAGTTGCATGCCAAATACACGGAATTGCAAAATAAAATGATCACAATAGACAGTCTGCAAGATGAATTGAATACTTTAAAAATGTTAATCCAAGAGAAGGATGTTTCATTAAGGTCAATGTCTGATGAAATTGCGAATCTTAATAATGCACTAAAGACTAAAGGAGACGTAATATATTCATTGAAAAAAGATATTGCTGACTTAAATGAGAAGTTAGAGGAATCGAAACCTTTGCAGAATTATAATGAATTATTGGAACAATTAAAAGATAAAGACACGATTCTTAATGAAATTCAATATAGGATGAATGCTATTACAAAAGAAAATAATAATTTATTGGAAAAAGTGAAGAATTTGTCCGAGCAGAACGATAATATTCAACAAGGTTTAACTGAAAAACAAGGACTAGTTTCTCATTTAATGAAAGTGAACGAGGTTTTAGATGCACAGATTGTAGAATTTAAATCCGATAGAGATCAAGCAAAAAGACGAATTTGGGAGATGCAAAACATTATAGACGATAATGCTAAGTTTGTGGAAAATTTACAGACAGAATTAAGAACTGCATACAAGCAAATAGAACAGTTAAAGATAAAACATACAGAGGATACGGAATTACAAAATCAAAGAGTTGAAGGTCTAATTGAAGAATTACATGCTAAAACACAAGAATATGAAACACTGAAAAGCGAATTGTTAGAGAAGGAAAGACTGGTTGGACAAAATGTAACGGAGGAGGTTAAAATCGCACTGGAAGCTAGAATTGCTGATTTGGAGCAGAAATTGAAAGATTCTGAAGATAAAATACAAATGCAGTTAGAAAAAATGAAGAAAATAGCAGCGAACCTGAAGAAGAAGACAGCCGTGTGTCAAGAACTTGAAACAAGAGCCGCTGAGTTAGAAGAAAAATGGACAACTGAAAAAGACGAAAAAGAGGCTAAAAACAAACAGATACAGGATGCAGCAATTTCGATGTGTGAAAAGGATAATAACATAGCAGAGTTAGAAGAGAAACTGATGCAGGCAAGAAACGAGAACGAAGAGGCTTTGAAAAACAGTGATGAACTTATGAGTAAATTAACCAATTCGAACGAGAAAATGTCGTTGCTTACGCAGCATATTACAGAAATGGAGGAAGAAATTGTAAGAGTACGAGCAGAGTTGGAATCCATAGTAGTGGAACTTGCAACTGAGAAAGTAGCCAAAGAAAATATAATGTCGGAATATGAAGCTTATAAACAACAAATTGCTACAGAGAACGAATGTAAACTGTTGGAGTTAGACGATGTCAAGGAAAAAGCCAGGGAGCTTAGCGTTCGAATGCAAGTTATGGAATCGGAATACGTTGAACAACTTGCGTTAATAAAGGATCTTCACGCTGCAAATGGTTTACTATTGTCCAAACAAACTCAAATCAACGAAAAATTGGAAAACGTAGAAAAAGAATCGGAGGAGCGACGAGTATTATTAGAACAGGTGCAGAAGGAAGCCGTTAGCACTGCGACCGTGACCACTCAAACCACAGAAGATGAAATTATTGAGGATGATACGAAAATGACTGGTACACAACATTGCAGTCATTGCGAACAATGCCAAACGGTGGTGCAAGCGTTAGAGGCGAAATTACAGGAGCGGGAAGCAGAAATTGAGAATTTGGATAACGAATTAGCTAATTCTGTTGGTAATTTTGTTCAAATGAGAGAGTCTCTTCGGTTTAACGATTTAATGAACCAAACCACTATGCGAAACAGATCACTGGAAGATCCCTACAATCATCTTCTATTCCAGTATAATACATTGATATCGAGCAACGAAGAAATAAAAGCAAAATTAGATGAAGCTTTAAAGGAAAATAAGGACTTGGTAAAGAAAATTGAAGGCTTACAGTCCGTGAACACTACTTTAGAGGAAAGAATAGTTGTTGCAGAGCAAATGTTAGAAAAAAACAAGCAAAACACAGAAAAGTTAGAAAATGTTGATTGCTTGAACTCTGACTTAAGAAAGAAATGCGAAGAACACGAATTGGAGTTGTTGAACGTGCAAAGAGACATGCAAGACGTCCAGGAGCGTGCGGATCTCCTCGAACAACAATTAAATTCCCAGACTGCATTATTGAAGTCGGAAGTAGAGCAACGAATGCATACAGAAAAGTTGTTGCAGGATGTTAAAAATAATTTGGAACAGGAAGTCGAGTCCCGGAAGGCTGATAAAAACATAGATCAGAAAATAATAGAAGATCTAAAGATTGAGTTAGAAACGTACAAAAATCAGAGTGTAGAGCTTACTGAAAACTCAGAAATTGTTAAAAGAGGAGCACCTGATTTAAATTTCCCAATTGATGAACGAGACAATGTGCCTCAGTTATTCGATGCTTCAAAAATCTTTGGTGCATCATCTGCCTCCGGTTCCGATATTCTAGGTGGTGCAGAAGCGAGAAGATTTCAGGCTTTGTTAAGCGAAAAAAACGCACAGTGCTCGAATCTTACCCAAGAGATCAGTCACTTGCAGAACCAGTTGATCGAGGAGAGATCTCAGATGTCCCAGAATTACAGCCAATGCATCGAAGAATTAGAAGTCTCTCGGAAGGATTTGCATGTAGCCCAAGCGAACTTGGAAAGAATGGAACAACTTTTAACCACGAAAGATGGACAGATCGAGTCCCTGAATACTGAACTGCGAAATCTCAGCTCGCAAATGTCGGCGGAGTTAGAGGCAAATTCTACAAAAGAGGCGGTCGAGAAACTCTCTCTCTCTCGAGATCAGCAGAACATCTTGCTCGAGTCGTACAAGCTGCAAATCGTGAATTTAGAAGCGGAATTAAAGAACTCAACAGACACGGAATTGATACAAGACTTGGAAACTCGGATTTCGGATATCACCAAGGAGAGAGATTTGTTACAGTTGCAGATGAACGATTTGTCAAGATCGTTGGAAGAGTTGAAGGGCTCAACTGAAATCGAGCGGAGTTTGCGGATGGAAATTGAGAAAATGGCGCGCGAAAGGGACGAGATGAAAGAGCTCGCGGCGAATCTCACGCGGGCTTTGGAGGATGCTTACAAAAGTGTGGATAAAACGCCTACCCTTACGGACTCGTCTACTAAAGAATCGACGCCTTTACAGGAAATCACGGTTACACAAGCGGAAGCGGATACTTTGAAAACTGTCGGCGAAGATGTTAAGGAAATGATTACTTCCGATAGTTGGGATGTAGGCTCGATCGAGAAGTTCAATGTCGACGAGGAAACCTGGGGTTGGAATGCGGACGATGCTCAGCTGGCTGGTGAACCGGTTACCACCGCTTTAGTTCCCAGCATGGAAATGCAGTTACGGGCGAAGGTCGACGATCTTCAGGATCAAATTCGAGATCTGGAGAAGGAACAAGACAAGATGACGGAAGAAAATAAGGCGCTTCAGTTGAGAAGCGGCAAAATGATAAAGAAACTTAAAGAGTACAAGGTGCAAGTGGAGAACCTTCAAAAACAATTAAAAATACAGAAATCTGCGATCGACTTTTACGACCTTGATTCCGCGATCGGAGAAGAGTTGAAGTCTCAGATCAGCAAGCTAGAGAAAACCCTGAACGAGGTTAAGGAGGAACAGAAGAGTACGATCGCCGAGAAAGAGGCTTTGATGAAACGTTTGGATGTCCTTATGTCTGCGAACGAACGATATATGGAGATGAAAGAGAGGCAGGACATGGATATGGAAGTATTACGTATCCGAAACAAGGAGTTGTCGGACAAAGTTGAAACGCTGGATAAACGGTTGCACGAAAGCGCGTCTGGTTCCGAGGAGAATAACGCTTCTCGAAACGAAACCGTTGTTCCGGACGAGGAGACCAAATCGGTGGTTCGTCGTCAAGAGAGATCCGTCGACGGCGAGGACTTGGAGACTCTGTGTAAAAAGTACAAGGATGATATCGATGATATTAAAGACGAGATGGAAGCGCTGGCCAACGAGAACGAACAATTGCAGCATTTCCTAGAAGAACAGAAGAACAAGCTGTCAGCCATCGAATCGAAACGAACGGCGGATGAAAACGAGTCCATTCAGATTGTGGACGATCTGAACAAAAAGATTTCGGAGTTGCAGGGCATGTTGAGTAAATCGAGAGAAGAGTATGACTTGTTGAGGAAGCAATACGAGCAAAGCTTGATGGACGCTAATGATCAGGTGTCGGCGATGAGGCAGAACTCCGATTTCTTGAAGGAGGAAACTTTTGAGAAAATTACCAGACTGGAAATGGCGATCGCTGATCTGCGTCAGCAAGCCGAAGCATCTGAATTAAATGTGAATGGACTGCAGAAGAGTTTGCAGGAAGCGGTTCAAGAGAAAGCAGACACAGAAGAGAAATTGGTTGCGCTAACGTCTTCCTCGGAGAAGCAACTGTCTGCCGTGAATGCATCGATGGCGGAAGTAACGGAACTTTTGAACGTCAGGATACAAGAGGTCGCGGACTTGAAGCAGGAACTTCAGAGGCAATATATACATCACGAGGAGGTGAAGATGAAATTACAGGAGACTATAGAACAACTGAGCCTAGAACTCGGCGAGAAGAAGCAACAGGTAGAGGTATTGAAGAAATCAATGAACGATAAGGAAAACGAGTTTATTCAACAACAGAGCGTGGAGACCGTTAGCGCTCTCGTGAGCCAAGCTACTCAAGAGCTGGTGCAGAAACACGCTATAGAGATCGAAGAGAAAGAGAAAGAGATACGACGGCTTAATGAAAAGAAACTACACGATGATAGGCAACTTGTAGATGTAAACAACGAACACCTACAATCTGAGGTGAGTTCTTTGTCGACCAAATTAAATTACATGAAATCGCGCAATAAAGAGCTTCAGCAGACCCTGGTTTCGCTGGAAGAGCGATTAACTGGAACAGTGTCAGAGAATGAACGAACTTTTGAACAGCTCTCGATCGAAAATAAAGAACACGTGGAAACTATAAGACAGTTACAGGCGCGGCTAAAGGAGGTAGAAATACCTTTCGGCCAGGCAAAAGACTTCATTTCGCATGCCCAAGATCTAGAAGAAAAGCTTGAAAACGTAAGGGCTTCTTTAGTGGAAAAAGAATATGCTTTAGGACAATGCATCAAACAATCCGCGGAATGCAATATTACTTTGGAGAATACCAAAGCCGAAGCTAACGCACTCCGTGTGGAGTTACAGAGGACCGACACCTTGAGGAACGAACTGCTAGAAAAGACTGATCAGATAAATCATCTTACCGCGGAATTGGAAATCGCTCGCAAAGCTTTGAACGAAGCCAGGCGGAATTTGAGCGAGAAGATGTCTTTGCTCGAGACGAGTAATCAAATGTTGAACGAGAAGCAGATGGAATTGGACAGATTGTCGCTGGTACAAGATCACTATCAACGTCGATCGAGTTCTTCCAGGACAGTAGACGATTTACCTGTCTTCAGGATGAGCGACGATACCCAGAGTCTGCAGCGTACGATTGACACTATGCAAGCTGAGTTGGATAAGAAACAGGAGGAAATCGAGCATTTTAAATATCTACTTAACGAGAACACGTATCCCAGTATAATCGAAGAGATGCAGGATAGGATCAACAGTCTTTACAACGAAAAGGCCGAGCTGGAGTCTTCTTTGGAAACGGCGACATTGAGAGCCGGCGAAAAGGACAAGCAAATCGAAAGTTTAACGCAGCGAATCGAGATGCAGACTCAGGAATTCACGTCCAAGGTAGAAGCAACTTTACCATCCAAGGAAAGACGGTCCGTCCATGATCAGGAGGAGATCGTCAGGTTGCAGAACGAGCTACACGTTAAAGAACAGCTGATCAACGAGTTGAAGTACGTGATAGCCGAGAAGGACTCTCAACTATCTCTCCAAGCCAGCATGGAACCGCAGTCGGATGATTTCGAGTTGCGTGAAACGTTGCAGCGACTGACCATCGAATTGTACGCTAAAGAACAGGAGATACAGCAACTGAAATCGACGGTCGCGGAGTTGGAGCAAGAACGGTCGCGATTACAAGCATTCGAACGGGTCTCGGAGGAAACCAGGGACGCCATACAGAGGCTTAATGAAGAGAAGGAACAGGTACGACTGGAGGCGCATGAAATCCTAGAGAGGAAGTTGAAGGAGAAGGAAATGGAGATCAGCGATATAAAAGAGAGGCTGTCTATCGAGAACAGAAATATTCTAAGTGAGTTACAGTTGAGGGACAGAGATATCGAGAATCTGAGGAGACAGCTGAACGAGTTTTCTACGATGGAACAGGGTGTGAAAGATAGTCTCCATCGAAAGGAGGAGGAACTTGTCCGTGTGAGCGCGGATTTGGCGGAGAAAGAACGACGATTGGCGGAATTGAGCATTACCAAGGACACGGAGCTCCACAATTTGAAGGTCCAGATACACGAGAAAGAGATCCGCATAGAGGAACTATTGGCGATGTCCGACGAGGAGGAAAAACAGCTGTACGAGTTGAAGATCGCATTGGAGGCCAGGGAGACGGAGATAAATTCATTGAAGGCTCTGCTGGAAGATAAAGTCAAGGAATACGAATTGATTCAAAACGTATTGAAAAAGGACATTCCTATTATCGATCCGTCTGAGGTTCGAGACTTGGAGGTGTCTGGGGAAGAGGGGAGAGCGTCAACCTCGCAGGAACTGGACTTTGCTCTGTACATGCTTCATCAACGGGACGTCAGGTGCGAGGAACTGACCCACGAGCTGATGCAGTTACTCGAGGAACGGGACACTTTACAGTTACGTCTGTCGAACGCGATCAGAGTGAACGAGGATCTGAGGAAAGGTGGCACCTCTCAGTTTAGTTTGAAGGAAGAGCCTTCGGTTTCCGAAAGCACGGAACCACTTGTGGACTGTCCTTCGCCTTCGAAGTCCGAGGGACCAGTCGAGATAGCCAAGGAAGCTATCGATTCTCCGATTGGGGAGGACAAGGAGACTCTTGCCCAGAAGTACGTAATCTCTATAGTTAATGTTTCAATCTAATTTATTTAAGGGGTTATATACAGTGATTCCTCGATGAATGCGACTCGAGCAACGGCGTTGTTCCTACCACTAGAGGGGGGTCCCCCTCTGGAATCAATCAGAACAGAGTAAACAGTAGCTACGCAGAGGCTCAAAAACTTTCCGTTTTGCTATGAATGCTCCAAAGCGGACCCGAGTACGTCGCACTCATCGAGACATTACTGTACCTTTGACAGGTCGGAAAATAGTGTTATTATTACGTATTTTTTTTTTAATATAAAAGACGTTTTATTTAGGAAATCAAGATATGCATCTTTTTGTGTATAAATTAAATTGTGTTCTTTTATTAAAAGAAATTTTATATTTTGAAAAATGATACCGTAGCTGCGCCTCCCACCAAGGCCCCTTCGCAGTTACAGCATTTGCGGTAACAAAAATATGTCAAAGACTACAGGACCCATTGGAATGAAATTTGGTGTGAATATTTTTAAGACAATAATCGAATACTTGTCGAAGCGATTTTCGATTCGTGCAGTTTTTTTAAATTAAAAGAACATAAAAATTTAGATCGAATATCGAATGCTTGACTTTGAGTAGCTGTCATTTTTGAAAAAATAACATTTTATTAAGTAAGAGCGCTGCCGCCCTTCACCCGCACTCCCCTCCCCGGCGAAAGTACCTAGCCCCAATTAACGCCGAATATTCTTTCTCGATAACCTGATTCATGAAAATCGAATATTTTAAATTCATGAAGTATACTAGTAACCGAACTTTCACAAATGTTTTTTGCGAATATCTAGAAAAGTTGTTCAGAATGTTGACCTTGATAACATATGTCAAGGTCAAGGACATCGAGCAGGGTCCCTTTTTGTAAATATTTACCAAACGTTTCTTCATATGAAACAAAATTCATAAAAATAAACCTATTTTCCGACCTGTCAATGATATTTAATCCCTTAATGTAATACTTTCATTAGGTCTATGGAAAAGTTCTGTCGGTTTCCTAGTCGAAAATCTATGTGTCCGCAGTTTCCTTGTATACTTTGTTTTTGTAAAATATAACAGTCTACAAACTTGGAAATACTATTCAAGAATCTGGTATTTCATTAACGTTTTTATTGCATTTTAATAAAAAATACGATTCGTAATCTTATAATTGATATTTAAGTAAATTAGATTTAATTCTATGTTGTAATAAATTTTTCGTCCTCTAGTCTGAAACTTTTCATTCACATAAATGGATGAAATTGTAATTATGCCATTGAATTCGAATCGTGATGTTTTGTTTCTGACCTTTGATGATTGTTATATACATGATACATGATTTTTTCACCTCAAGAACGGTGATTATTTGTTCAGATTTTGATACTACTTCTCGGAATTAAAGATCCCACTCTTTGTTTTGCAATAAATTCGATTTTTTGTATTGAATTGTACAGAATCTCCAAAGACAGGTGTCGTTTATCTAAATTATTTGGACCATTTATAAAGGCGACAGAACTTTTAAACAGGTGCATACATTTTAATATAATAAATATTGGGAGGTTAAAATTATCTGCGACACTAGCGGTCGGTATACAAACTAATATTAATGGACGACGTAGGTATACAATTTAGTACTGTTTATACATATATGCATAGTAATTGAAAGTTGGAGTAGTTATTAAAAATAAGAGTTCAAAAGATTTTAAAGGCCCGAAAAATGGAATTTTGACAACATCGAAGAACTGTATTAAAAAAAGGTTCTGTGTAACAGAGTGTAACGCTGCGATGAACAATAACGTAACGTTAAGTTTTTATAAAGTGCCAAAATCTTTCAACTTTCAAATAAACTTTTATGTTACTGGTTCCACATAAACATATAGTAAAATGTATACCTGCGTCGTCCATATTTCTTACGCAACAAGAGCGCCATCGTTCTTGCGGTGGTAGTTTTCTTTGCCAATATAACTAAAGGGAAAATCTATAAAGTTGTTATAAAATTTTTCAGCTTTATTCTACGTCTCAGAACTAACAAGGGAAATTCGGTAACCCGAAAATTCCGATTTTTTTAAAACTTTGCAGGTTTGTAGGGGACCTCAAGAGAACTATAGCGCAATTTTTGTTTTTGCCCCATTTTCAGTTCTTCAGGGTAAAAACACCCCTTAAAGGTAGATAGACGTTTTCATATTTCCTCGTATATCTTTAAAACTATCGTAGATATAAAAAAATGGTTATAATAAAAATTGATAAAAATTCTTTGTTTAAATAAAAAAACACCACTCACCAGTCATTTTGAAAAATTTTGAATTTTCTGTCACGTCGAAAAATATGTAGCACCTCATTATAAATGCAGATATGTATATTAAACGTGTTGAACAATGTGGTATTTAAATAATTTTAACCGATACGTACATTTTGCACGCCCATCGTTGCACTTTGAACGATGCGTTACCACTAAACTGCGGATTTTATGCATTTATTGTCTATGGGAGTCTGTAAAGTACAGTAAAATACAAAAGTTTCATCAGATCCAATCAGTTTTCTAGTTTATTCCAAACGTAATATGACACTTAATAAACGAAAGAAACTTCCACATTTGCTCTTCTCTGAATAAATTGTTTTAAAAATACCATCTCGGGGAATTGCTTTGCACGACGCTATCCTGGATATAATTATTAGAAACATGGAAGAAGATATTCTTATTGAAGCTGATTCTACGTTACAATTTGAAGATCCATATGCATCGCATGAATTGCAAGACTGTTGGTACGAAGTTAACGAATCGACATCAAGCTGTGAATAGAAACATATCCTTCAAAGTGAACTGTGTACATCTGAAGAAAGAGAAATTATTGATTTGGAATATAAAACAAGAGTTGTGGAGTTCTGGACAAGTGGGATACGAAAATGTTATTCTCTGAAAAGTGTACAACATCGATTTAAGAAAGTAAAATCTGTATCTCAACTCTATGTATAGATGGGAAGCTGTTGTGAAGAATGGTGGAACGTTACATGATAAGACAACTATTATTGCAGAATATGTGTTCGACAAATTTAAAATTAGTAATGATGAAAAATATACATATTATGTATATTATACTCGATTGACACTCTCTACAATATTAATTGTAATACCTTCTTATATCTTGTTAACTAATAATAAAATTGAACAAACTCATATTAAAGTTTACAAATTCAGCCATAAAGGAATAAATATCTTTGTTCGGGTTATTGTTCACGCTTTTATTTTACGTCGTATGATAAAAATATACAAGACGTTGGTTCAAATACGTGGCAAGTGATAACTCATTGTTCAAAGTGCAACGATGGGCGTGCAAAATGCACGTATCGGTTAAAATTATTTAAATACCACATTGTTCGACAAGTTTAATATACATATCTGCATTTATAATGAGGTTCTACATATTTTGCAAGTGACAGAAAATTCAAAATTTTTCAAAATTACAGTGATGGGGATTATTTTTTCATTTAAACAAGGAATTTTTATGAATTTAATTGCATCGTTTTATAGAGCATAAAAAACAATTCAATTTTTATTTTGACCATTTTTTTATGTCTACGATAGTTTTAAAGATATACAAGGAAATATGAAAACGTCTATCTACCTTTAAGGGGTGTTTTTACCCTGAAGAACTGAAAATGGGGCAAAAACAAAAATTGCGCTATACTCCTCTTGAGGTCCCCTACAAACCTGCAAAGTTGAAACAAAATCGGAATGTTCGGGATTACCGAACTTCCCGCGTAAGTACAAGAAGAGAGACCTAATAAACATAGGGTTACAATTTTTTTAATTATCTTAGATATAGACATTTTAAGCTATTGTTTGAAAAATAAATCGTTGCGATAAATTTTTAGAGCACTTTTTCCCCGTGATTTTTTAGATTTTTAAAACAATTTTTCTTTAAATTTTTAAAAGTAGGATCGTGCCTAGCAATTTTGTGACGTCCTTATAAATTTAGTTTGCATTCCAAATGGATCTGCTGTGCATAGAACATACAATTATCTACTTTAGTTCCAAAAACAGGAAAACTTATTTCAGATTAAAATTGGCGCTATTTATTATAGGCAAATAGACAATATTTGTTTAAACAATAATATTCATCTAAATATAATTACGTGTCTATTTCCGTACTCACTGATTTCTCTTTAACTTTTTAAAAGTAAAAATAGAAACATTTTCAGATGTACTGTTGCATTAGTGGAAAATATGTACATAATTTGCACACAGTGAGGTACAATAATCTATATAACATCTTTATATTTTTAAATATTCTGAATGAAATTAAATAAATTTTGGAAGACGAATGCAAAAATTTATACTGCATACATATTTTGCATTCACTGATTGAATTTTTTTTGTTCGCCTATCATTGTCGAACATATGGATATGATAACTGCAAAAGGAATCATTCCAAAACTTAATATTTAAGATAATTATTGCATGCATTTTATTAAATGAATCTAGAATCTTAAAGAAAAATAGGTACAGTTTGTTAACAAGTAACCACGCATTGAGGTTGAATAATTTTTGATTAAGTTTATTATAACACGATCCGAAAAAGCACGAGGCGTAACACAGTAAGACCGGAAGAAGAATAGAAAGCGGCACACGCGTCGCTGTATGCTAGAAGCTTCCATAGAAACAAAGTGTTACCAACTGGATAACATAAATAAGAGTTGGTAACTCCTACGTTTCGGATTATTACAATAGTGAATTTATTCCAACACAGTTTGTTATGCGGAATTTGGCTTTCGGACCCTGGTCAGCCGTGTGACCGTGGTCCGCCGCGAACAAAGCTCCTCTATCGGTTTCCGCGACTATTCGCGCCTCCGCACGTTGAACGCTTGGCACTCCCCGAATGCCGGTATCGAGTAGGACTTCCGATACCTTCGAAATTTAGTGAGAGTGGAGGCTACGAGAGAGTGGCTGTTGCCGGCTAGCACGCACAAGAGTCGAGGTTCGCAAGTAGGATGCGGAGAGTCT